GTGCAGGACTGCCTCAACAATTGCATTGCATCTATGTGGCCCCCGTCACCGCACACCGGGTGTGCCCCCAATTTTTATGACAAGCACAAATCCCCACCTCCAACTGCCAAAATGCTTCTTTGAGAATGGACATATTCCACAGGGAGGAACTCCTGGGGTTCTCTCAGCAATTCTAGGAAGATGCCCTAGAGAACCCCTTAGGGGACCGAGAGAAAGTAAGCGATTCACGTTGACATCAGCACAGGATCCACTCTGGCAGCGGGACAGAAGACTCAGCAGCATGGACGGCAGAGAAAGTTTAGGAACTGTTTTGGCTTCACAAAAGCTCAAGGATACAAGAAAGACCAAGCCGCTATTTAGAGAGGATGAAAGAGGAGCAAGCAAGAAACCCTGCAAATAACAACGTAGAGAAGGTGAGTAATTCGATTTGGGGCAGCTCTTGAGTATGTGTGCTCAGAAGGATGTGTTCCAGAACAGAATGTGTCAAGGTGAGAAGGGTGTCACCAGGCCAGAGGAGGAGGCATGTTGAGGCATGTCCAGGGGAGCAAGGGATACTTTTAAAGGCTGTGTCTTTAGGGCCTCAGCCCAGGACCTTCTCTGGAACTGCCTCGCACTCTTCCAGGTCCTCTGAAAGTGTGAGTCAGCCACCCCCACCCGGCCACAGCGGCTTGGCCCAGGGAGGGACGTGTGACCCAGGGACCCAAATCCTTTCACTAGGATGAGCCAATCTGAACTTCTCTCAGAGAATTTGAACTACATAACACAGAACTCCAGTCCACCAGGGAGAATGGAGTCAGGGCCAGGGTCGGCTCCGCGTGGGTGGGGCTGGGTTTCTGGGGAGCAGGAACAAGGGTCTGTGGAAGAGGCCACGCCTCAGAGACTGAGACACCTGTGGAGAAAAGCAGAGGTGAGAAAGAAACTGGCAGGCTGAGACAGTGAGACAGAGAGAGCACAGCACAGGTTGAATGAATGAAGGATAAATGAATCGCCCCTCCCACACATGATCTCCGTGATTGGTTATTGTGAACGAGTCGAGTCACTGGAGGTTAGGGAGGGAAGCAGGTGTTCCCACAGCCGTGGGAGAAGGAGGTGATGCTATAGGTTCTGATTCTCTCAACTAGCATTTACTGAGCATTGCTGTGCGCCGAGAGCCATGCTGGGATAGGAGATACAGAGATATAGAAATATAGCTCCACTGGTGGGGGACTTGGGGGGAACACCCATAGAGGGAAGGGGTCGTGTGTTCTAGGAGCAGAGAGGGCTGAGTATGCGCCTCCGCTTGGCTAGAGACCAGGTGTGATCAGGAAAGGTGATATTTGGGTTGCATCTTTCCTTCAGGCCAAGGAGATGGTAGGGTGTTCCAGGCAAAGGAAAGAGCAAAGGGAAGGACAAGTGGAAAAAGGCATAGCCCCAGGAAGTTGGAACTGCAGCTGAGAAAATGGGCCGTAGCTGGTCTGCATTGGCCCTGCGTGCTGTGCCCAGGCGCTGAGTTGGGAGTCCCTCAAGGGTTCGGAGTGAGAGGGCGGGTGGCCGCGGCCATGGCCTAGAAGAGGGGGTGGAGGCCTCCTCCAGGCGGGAAGAGCGAGGGCACGTGATACAGCGCTCACACCTGCGGCAGCCTGCCTGTATAGCTCACCTGCTTTTCTGGATTCATTTCAGTGTAGCCAGCCAATGAGTGGTTTAGATCTTCTCTGCCCAGTGCCACCCTTAGACTTGGGCAAAATGGATGCCGTGAACTAAGCCAGACCCAAAAAGACAAATATATGATTCCACTTACATGGGGAACCTAAAATAGGCCAGTTCATAGAGACAGAAAACAGAATGGTGGTTGCCAGGGGCTGGGGGAGGCGGGCATGGGGAGTTCCTGTTTAATGGGTACAGAGTTTCCGTTGGGATGATAAAAAGAAGTTCTGGAGTTGGATAATGGTGATAGTTGCACAAAAGTGCAAATGTACTTAATGCCCCTGAATTGCAAACTTAAAAATGGTTAAAAGGGTAAATTTTACGTTATGTTTATTTTACCACAGTTTTTAAAAAGTGGATGCCGGGGCTCCGTGCTTTAGAAGGCCCGGCCCCCCTCCAGCCCTCCTCTGGCTGCGCCCTTGTCCTACGGGCTTTCAGCATTCAAGCACCTCACAGGTCTGAGAGAGGCTGCCCTTCCCTAATGGGCTATGGAAGGGAGTCCACAGACTAACTTTGACCATACACAATCATTCCCTTATGTACTGACTTCACAGCCCGACCCCACATACGCCGTAGCTACCGACAGTTTGCACGGTTGGGAGTCAGACAGCTCAGGGCCCAAGTCCCAGCTCTGTGTTCAGTTTCCCCCTCTGTAAAATGGGCCTAATCATAGTAGCACCTCATGAAGTGGCTGAAATGGGTAAATGAGCCCCTGCAATAACGTGATTAGAGGCCTGACACACAAGAAATGTCAGAAAACTTGGCTCCTACTAGAATATTCACTCTGCATTCTTGACTGGAGGACTGATTATAGCTGTGTTGAAGAGAAGTGAAGGGAGAAGGTCATGTTCTCTGAGGGTGGTGCAAAGTTATCCAAGCAGGCGAGTGGGAGCCCCCTGCCCTGGGCTGAGTCAGCTGGGAGGCCTGGGTCACGCTCACCAGACAGTGGTGTCTGCAAGTCCCATGTGGCTTATTATATACTCTTTGGAGACATCAGTCTCACACAAGTCTCCACCCTGGGGCTTAGAGTCTCATAATACATTTGATTAAAATGTCTCTCCCTTTGACCATTCCACTCACAGGATTCACTTAGAATTCATTTACTTGATGGGTTAATATTTTGCACCAGCTTTGGCTAAGCAGGATCAGTGCCCTGAGACCCAAATCCGGTGTCTCTTGCTATCTGTAAATGAGAATAAGGACAGGTATTTTTGCTATGAGTTTCTTCGATAAAAATTTGGCGATGCATAATTTGTGTCTGTCACCTATTGCAACTTTTATAATAAGTGAATGTTATGCATCCCCAGTTATAACTTTTATAACTGGGGATGCATAAAAGTATTTTCAAGTAAATAGCTTGAGGGATTTTCAAGTAAATAGCTTCCAAAAGCCACCCTGCTTGTCTGGTTCAGATACTTTAAAGCCATAATTATGAGTTCGAATTGAGTTGAAAATAAGAGCCTCCAGAGCGTAGCTCACGCTGAGCACAGTGGCCGGCAAAAAGGTAAATCAAAACACTTTTGAGCAAGAGAATGGATGGCTACAGTTCCAAATAAAAAATTAGGACACTGTAGAAATCATCATATTACATTTGGTTCACTGGGAAACATCTCCATGCGGCTACTAACCCACACTTAACTCACTGTTGTAAGTACTCCATGTAGGAGTACTAACAGCAAACGTTACTTAAAGCAACTAACATGTCACATTGCTCTAAGGATGGTAAAATACATATGAAATATCTACAATCTCCAGCTCAACTTTCCCTTATTTTGCTAAGGGGAAAAACACATGTAAGATGAAATTGTATGGATATTATATTTGAATCTTCTGGATCATTCCAAAGTATGATGGCAAATTTTCTAAAAGGAAATCTGGTTACTTCCAAAGTATTTTTATAATGCAGAGCTACACTAGGTTTTAGTATGATGAATTTCCACCTAAGTGAAGACTTTCTCATTGGAAAGAGTGAAATTATTGAAAATATTCCATATCAGATTTATTTCCTGGCTATACAAAAAAACTCTAAGCTCAGATTTCTGGGATACCTTTGTTGTTGTTTGTTTGGCCATGCTGCACAGCTTGCAGGATCTTAGTTCCCCAACCAGGGATCGAACCCGTGCCCCCTGCAGTGGAAGCGTGGAGTCCTAACCACTGGACCACCAGGGAACTCCCAGGTATACCTGGAAAAACCATCTTCCAAAATAGGCTCTTTGAAAAGTCTCCTCGATGGCAGCATGCTTTGAAGGGATGTCAATCCCTTTTTGGAAAGGAGATACTGGGCAGAGTCACCTCTCGTGGATAACGGAGGTGATCAGGCTAGACAATAAGCAAACTGTCTTTTCTGTCAGTGTTTATCAAGCCTTCCCCACGTGTATCTCTGTGTGCTGGAGATACACGGACACGAGGCTTTCTAAGGTGACTTGAAGACAGTTCTTAAAGGAAAACCCAAAGGATGTCTTTAACAGTGGCAACAACATATAAAGTCCACAGTGCATCAAAATGACTACTTTTGACAGATACTTATTTAGATAAGTTCTTTTATGTTTTTTTAAAGAAAGACTAATTACTTCATAATCATACTTTATAAATCTACTTAGATAAAATTGAACTATGTGTAGATTGTGCTTTGTTTTATAATTGATGGGTTTCTGGAAAGTTGTGGGAAAATCCTTTAAAATCAAACACACAAGGAAATTATTTTAAGAGGGAGAAACTGTGTTCCATTTATTTCCAAGCACCATTTGCTGTGTATGTCAGAGGCCCTCCAGGGACTCTGCTCCCAGAGAGATGCCCAAATCTCCAGAACCTGTTGACCTGCACTTGGCCTCCCCCGTAGGACCTGGACACCTGAGCACAGACAGGAACTAGTGAGCTTGTCAGAGGCAGGTGATATAGCGGTAACTCCTCCAACCAGGAGTCTTCTTAATCAACGCCATGGTTCCTAGTTATTGCTCTGGACATATTTACAAACAGAAAAGACTTTACCCACTTTATTACCCTGGTCCACGATCTTCTAGACCCGGTCTCACATTTGTAGGATACGGTATGAGCTTTAAAGCTCTGCAGCAGCCCTGCTGACAGTTTGGAGTAATTCAACCATGCAAAAATTCTACTTCGGCTGAATCATGAAATCGCTAGTTTTATAGACCAAAAATGGCAGTCTCCCATGGTTCAACCTAATATGTTGGAGGAAGAGTAGGGTATGGTTTAGAAAGTCAGCCTTTAGCATTGATCTTTCCTCCTCTTCCCTCCTCCAAATAACCCAATAGAATGCTTTCCTCTCAAGTAACTCCGTGTAAATCTAAGACAGGGGATGTAGGGAAACACAGACAGTTCCGAGGCTCCAGTCCTCCCAGAGGGAGAACAGGGGAAGACCTTTAGAAATGTATTTAGTTCATAAACAAATCCTTGTTTAGCTGCCAGTGCTGGGAGGAAACTGCTCGGCCACTGCTGGTTCTACATCTTTAATGCCATCACCACGGGAGGGCAGAGCCGCCTCCGTCCTGGAAGGAGGATATGGATCTCACCCTCACATTACCATGCTGTGAAAATTGAGGCACAGAATCACAGTGAAGACACACTGAGATGGCGACACAGTCAGATTCAGAACTAGTCTCTGAAACCTCTGGAAATCAGCTTCCATTTTAACAGCATGGACAGGAAAGCCTTGAGTGGTATTTCATAAGCCCAGCGGGTAGAGTGAGAGAAACAAAATACGGTCTGTTGGACTGGGATTTGAGCTCTCTCTCCTTCTGTGGGTGTCGTGGTATAGAATCAAGGGCCATACAAACCCGTGTTTGGGGTAGATTCTGCAGTGTTTCCAGATAGGTCCCCTACACCTAGAGTCTCTCCCCGGCGTGGGCTCTCTGACGTGCACTAATACGTGAGCTATTGTTGAATTGGCTCCCACACTCAGCACATCCATAGGGTTTTTCTCCCGTGTGGATTCTCTGGTGAGTAATAAGACCTGAGCTCTGATTGAAGCTCTCCCCAGGTTCCCCGCATTTATAGGTCTCTCTCCAGTGTGGATTCGCCGGTGGGTAATGACGTTTGAGCAGTCACTGAAACGTTTCCCACATTCCAGACACTCATAGGGTTTCTCTCCTCTGATGGCTGGTGAGAGCGGAACTCTTACTGACCGTTTTCCCACACTCGGGGCACTGGTAGGGCTTTTCGCCAGTGTGCGTTCAGCAGTGTGTCCCCAAGTGTGAGCCGTTGGTGAAACTCTTTCCACACTCACTACACTTACGGGGTTTCTCTCCTGTGTGGATTCTCTGGTCCATAATAAGGCCTGTGCTCTGCGTGAAGCCTGTGCGACACTCCCCACATTTATAGGGCTTTTCTCCTGTGTGGATTCTCTGGTGTGTGATGAGGTCAGAATGATCACTGAAGCCTCTCCCACATTTGGGGCATTTGTAGCGCTTCCCCACCGTGTGGATTCTCTGGTGGCAAACCAGATATGAGCTTTGGCCAAAGCTTTTCCCACATTGGCCACATTTATAGGGTTTCTTTTCTCCAGTGTGGGCTAATCCGTGGACAGCTAAGTGTGAGCTCAGGCTGAAATGTTTTCCACATTCACAGCATATATTGGGTTTTTCGCCAAATAGGTTCCCTGAGGACCTATGAATTTACCTAAGTCTCTTTCTGGAGGAGAGAGCAACTCTTGTCCATCTTCTAAGGATATTTCCCACTGCTTCTCTGCCCCATATTCACTTTCCCAGTCTTTCCTCCAGTTGAGGTACTGGGAAACATCCATGCTGGATCTTCCTAATAACACCCCAGGTAGTTTTACTGCCTCTGAAATGTCCTGGCTTGAATCCTCCTCATTCTCTGTCCTTGTTTCAAGATCTGAAAGAATGAAATGAAACTGCAAAGGTTACCTATTTTCTGATTCAGAAGAATGGAAACAACGTGAAAGAGGTCCTTACTGGTCACTTAAAAACAAGTTATTGGTGGTGACAGACCTTAATCAATTTTCCATTAACCAGGAACAAATAAGCTGGAATATGGCTGAACCATTGTCAAGACCAGCAGACATCCAGGCCTCACTCACTCCCCCAGCTTCTAAGCAGGAAGGTCATGTGGAGAAAGGCTGGAGGCAGGTCCAGGCGCACTTCTTCCTCTTCAGTCAGAGCTGCACCCCCTCCTCAGAGGCTCTGTCGCCAAGCTCAGCTCCCCCTCTCCTCCCATCACCTACGAACTGGCAATCGGTACTAAAAAGCCACCTTTCTCTTCCTGATACTGCCTTCTGGGTAGAGAGACGTGCCTTAGAATAATTCTCCTGGCCATTCTCCATCCCCTTCCTTACAGGTGGGAGGAATGACTTCCTTGGTTAACAAGCAGCTGGTGTACGTGGCTCAGATCAGCAGTGAAGGCTCTATCCCTGCAGGGCGAGGTGGTGGTTGTCCAGTGCTGCCTGTGGCTCAGTTCTGGGGCTCTGTGTGACCCCACGGCTAAGCCACACCCTCAAGAGCTCCACCATTTAGAAAGCTGCCATTCTGATCTCAATGTCTTACTCATGTCTCTCTCAGTCGGTCTAGAACCTGAGTAAGTTCTATTTACCAGATCGCCTGAAATTCCAACAAAATGACTGAGCCCCACCACGGAAGGGAGCTCATCTTAATCATGAGAAATTCACCCTCCAATAATCTAAGGTTGACTGTAGTTTTAATTTGGGGTTATCCATGTTCCCTTTTTCTACTAACCTGGTTAAGTGATAGTTAATTAAAATTATAATTCAGATAGAAATTTAAGAGAGAAATCATAAACACTAACACTTTGTTTATAGCTACATATTCCAAGGTAACTAAAGAGACCAGGCTTTCTTTTCTGTTCTTCTCACAACTCCTGTGGTTTCAGCACCACAGAACAATAACCCGGGAAGATCAAGTGCCTGGGTTCCTCTCCCGCCCTTGCCCAGTACTGGCTCATTCATGTTCAGAATTCCAGGTCTGACTTCTTTGTTGGTAAGATACTAGCTTTCACTCATTTCCCACCTGCACAGGAAGTTTTCCGAATTTCCTTGAAATCCTGGAGACTGTCCTTCCAAAGTTCTTCACTTCCCTCCAGACTTGAGACCCCATCTGATGGGGGAACTGGAGGTCCTGCCCAAGGAAAAGCAAGAAGGGACATGGGGTTCTTATGTAATTTGCCTTCTGTTCTCATATGTGGAAGTGGTAGGTGGGATGAGAATGGAAGCACGTCTCGGAAAGGTCTAGTTTTCAGAAGAAAAAGTTAATGACTTAGGAAATTTTCCCCCTTAAGTTCAGCATACAGGGCAATGTGCTTATGTATTTTAACAATAATTATAACAATGATGACAATGAGAACTAACATTTGCTGAATGCAAACAATGTAACAACCCAGGGAGGTAGTTACTATCACTGTGTCCATTTTGCAGATAAGAAAATGGGGGCTCAGGGTGTTTAACCAGTGTACCCGGGAAAAGACAAGTCTTTAAAGTGGCAGACTGTTATATATAATATATGCAGAGTTCACATCTATGGGGCACTTTAGGTGGAAACAAACAACTGAAACTTTAAGTAACTCTCCTGTTTCTCTAATATTGTTACTAAAAGCAGGCAGGGAGATCCCTTTGCTGGCGAGCAGAGCAAAATCCTCAAAATCATCTTCCTGAGTCACCCTGGACTATTGGTTTCTATCAGTATTTAAAGATAGGCTGTAAATAGTATTCCTCTATAGAAATCAACAATTTTCCTCCTGACAAGCCCATTCAGATACAGACTAGTGATAGCAGAGTGACAGACATAAGCATGTCTCCTGATTCACAGTCCCTAATCTTCCCGCGGGGCTTCCTCTCTCCCACTGTTCTGAAGTGCACTTTGGGGAAGAGAGCTTACCATTGGGATACCCCCTCAAAGCCTGGGGGCCGAGGCTCCCGGGCTCCTCTGTCACCTCATTACCATCCCGTCACTGCCTTCTGGTTCTCACTGGAGTCCCCTCTAGTCCACAGAACACCTCCTGCTACCTCCAAGGCATCAAAGGTGTTGGCCAGGGTCCAGGGACTCATCAGGGCATCCATCTCATCGTATAAGGGGCAGGTGCCTGGAGTGTGGGTGCTCCTGGCTTTGCGGTAGTTGGTCTGAAGGTTTTTGAACCGGTAGCGACACTGCTCCAGGGTCCGCAGGAAGCCCCGTTCCTGCAGCCGCTCAGCCACAATCCGGTACACCTGGCGGTTCCGATGGCACGTACAGAGCTTCTCATGAATCCAGGACTCACTGCGAATTCCCAGGAAAATCTTGGTTTCCTCGTAGCCCCAATGCATCCCTGCCACCTTCTCATCCTCCAGGCCCTGCCACTCCAGCTCATCCCCCATCTTGGCTTTTCTCAAGATGGGCACCTGGCCAGGCCTGACTCTGCCCCAACCCACCAGGGAGTCTCACACTCTCCTTCCCTCTGGAGCGCTGAAGACCTGGGCTCTGTGGCTTTTCCTCCTGCTCCACGTGGGAGCTCACACAGGGTCTGTGGGTTGGAAAGGCTGTTTGCAGGGAGACAAGAAGAAGACATAATGGTTGGGTGACTCTAATAATCCCAACCACTTTATATGCCAGGGAGAGGAGATATTATTATTTTTTTTTAAGTCCAAGGGAGGGGGGCCTTCCCTGGTGGCACAGTCGTTGAGAGTCTGCCTGCCGGTGCAGGGGACACGGGTTCGTGCCCCGGTCCGGAAAGATCCCACATGCCGCGGAGCGGCTGGGCCCGTGAGCCATGGCCGCTGAGCCTGCGCGTCCGGAGCCTGTGCTCCGCAACGGGAGAGGCCACAACAGTGAGAGGCCCTCGTACCGCAAAAAAAAAAATAAGTCCAAGGGCGGGCTTCCCTGTGGCGCAGTGGTTAAGAATCCACCTGCCAATGCAGGGGACATGGGTTCAAGCCCTGGTCTGGGAAGATCCCACATGCCAAAAATAAATTAATTAAAATAAATAAATAAATGCAATGAGTGGGACAGGGAGGAGAGAAAGCAAAGGAAGAACTAAGCTACCATTTACTGAACACCAGGCACTGCACTGGAAACTTCACATTTGCTCAAAATTCCTGTTTAGTATGCGGCAGAGCTGGGATTTGAACTCAAGACTGTCTGAATCTGAAGCTTTTGTTTTTCTCCCACTACACAATCCTGCATACTATGAGGACGAGATCCAGATACCGAAAGAAGGAAGTAGCCATTACTTTTAAGACAAACAAGCAATCTTAGAGTCAAGGAAAAGAATGACTTAATACAACCCCTCACTACCTCAGCTGTGGCGCTGCCTTACACAAGGAAGGAGATTTGGGCAACATTTTTCAAGCTGATGAAATTTGGAGCCTCATCTATAAAGTTACTGGGCCTGCCCGCTGGGTAAAATTCCTTTGCAATTTCCGATAGGCAAGAGAACTGGTGCAAAGGGCCCCACTCAGTAGTAGAAGGTGACCTGAGTAAGAGGAATGTCTGGCCCACCTGGAAGCTGCTTATGGCCCCCTGGTCACAGCTGTGCTCCGGAGAAAGAGCCAGAGCCTGAGGATCAGGCAGGCCTGGGGGGAGAGAAAGGAGCCATTAGAGGGAACGCTTCTTGGCCCCCCCCCCCCAGGGACCAGCCCATCGGGTTTGGAAACAGAAGAGTCTTCCTCCTCCTCTTAGTGTCTGCTTTGTCCCATCAAAGAAGGACTGGTGAAAAAGCAAAACAACACATTTCTCAAAGGGGAGTTCCAGATTTCCCTTCCATATCCATCCACGTTACTGACTGTCAGCGTTTTATGCTTTTATTCTTCAGTTTTGATAACACATGTGAATCATCTGAATTGGTCTGGGGACACGTACCTGTTTTGGGAATTACTGCACTCTAGTTTAGCCCTACCTTGTGCCTTTCCTACCACCCAGGCCTAAAATTGGTACCCACACCTTACCTCCTGGGACCAGTAAGGTCTCACTCACATAAGGAGAGGTGCCACCAGCTCTGCTGTGTAGTTTTACAAAACATGCCGACCAAGGTTCTTCTTCCCTTTGGAGGTGCCTGTTGAGGATTCCACAGATTCATGTGGTCAGCCTCAGTTTATATGCCACATCCTCCCAGGGAAAGGAGCTGTACCCTCTACCCCACTTCCTGCACTCGGAGCGGGTTTCGCGCCCTCCCCACAGAAGGGTCCCTTCTCCCTCCCTACACTGCTGCTGCTTACCGCTCTCGTGGAAGAATCCAAGTTTTACTTTGGGGCTGTGGTTCATTTGGTCTTCTGGTTCTGGCTGTGAGTTCTTCACCACTGCCTGGAACAGATACATGGATTCTGTCTGTGCTTGCTTCAGATGGATGTTTAGGGGACCTAGTACCGATCCTGAGGGTTCCTTCTCCTCTGACAGCACCTTCTGTCCCTGTTCAAGGACTGGAAATGGTCAGAATTCTGTAGGCACTAAAACTTAATCATCCCCAGACATAAAGAAGCAAAGGGGGAACTCAGTCTTATGCAAATCACTGCAGGGGCAGTAAGGAGTGTGGATGTGTGGGAGATGCCATGGAGATAAGATCTGGAACCCAGGCCCACTGCAATCTGCCCACCCAGCTCTCCCAGGGCTGCTCCTGTCAGCCTCTAGGCAAAACTAACAATACAGAGAGAGCAAGCAACAAGGCAGCTATTTTGTGACAGGACCTAAAGGTTCAACAATGTCAATAAAGACCAGTGAAACCCCTTGCTTCAGGCTGGCTGCTGCTGAATGAGAGCTGTTCTCCAAAGAGAAAATAGGTTGTATCTGCTCCTCCTGGATCAGAGTGGTGCTCAAACTATTTTAAACAATTCTCTTATTTACTGGTGGGGACCAACACTCAGAGCAACCAATGTTGTGCGTCCTCCGAAAAGTCAGTCTGAAAATGGAAGGAAAGCTGCAGCTACCAGGCCCAGGGAATAAGCAAATTCTGTGCCGACACCAACAGCAAAGTGTACACATCACCCATACTGCTGGCAACCCAAGGTGGCTCTGTCTCTCACATTCCTCTATTTTAACTACTCAGAACTAAGTTTCCATATCTCACCTGCAGCCCCAGTCTTCCAGGTTCTTTTCGCAAGTCTTCCACCAGAGCCACTGCCTCCTCTCCACTCTCTGGATGTTTCTGTCTAACCCAGATCTGGATCTCCTGGGGAAGGACAGCCAGCAACTGTTCCAGGACTAGCAACTCCAGGATCTGCTCTTTCGTACACTTCTCCTGTCTCAGCCACTGATGACAGAGCTTCTGGAGTTGGATGGAGTGCCTCCCGGGGTCCTGATGCTTCTTGATAGTGGAAGTACCAAAAGTGCTGGCAGGAGGTCTCTGGTTCAGGGATACTCCCTTGAAAGAAAATTTCCTGCTGCCAGTGGGAATCTTCTTCCAGCTTCACTATTTGGAGCTCTTCTTGTACTTGAGGAGTCTGGATTTGTTCATCCACAGCTACAGCCATTGTTCAGATCAGAGACGAACGCTGCAGCTGTGATCTGAAGTTCAAACCTCTTCCTTTACTTCACTGGGAAGCCACCTTTAGATAGGAGTCTAAGTAGAACTTGAAATTCTAGAGCCAGAGACATACATTACAGAGTGAATTCTAGTGAAAATCACAAGGGTTAGTCCAGTGGGATTGAGGTGAAGAAAAATCTTCCTGTTCCTCCCTCCCCATGTCCTGATGCCCATGGAGTCTGGCCCTCTGTCACTGGGGAGGCAGCTCCAGAAGTCTGACAGTAGGGGTCAAGGGCTGGTGGTCTGGGTGGAAAGCAGAGGAGCGTGAAGCTGTGTTTGCATAGCGATTTACTTAACGCCAAGAAAATGCCAATGATCCATACTGAAGAATGAGGATGAGCTGATGGAGATAACGGGGACAATAAACTGCTCATTCTCCCAAGCCACTGGTCTTCAGAGTGTTGCCAAGTACATGCAGTACAAGAGGCAGACGGCACACAAGGTAGCAGCACCTTGGAGAGCAGAGCCTGAGTGGAGCCCGCTCTAAGCTTCAGAGATTCAACCGCTCCAACTCTCAACTCTCCTCGCCTCTGGGTGGGTTCTCAGATTTGGGCGGGCCCTCTCTGGATTCCTCAGTCTTGGCATCATAACTCTCTCCCAAACAGGGAGATTTACCCTGGTTAAGGTTACAAGATGTAACAGCAAGGAAAACAAGATCACAGACTCACAGGATGTTACAGTTGGAACGAAAGTTAAGAGATAGTCAGGCTTCAACTCCCTCAAAGCTGAGGCAGTCACGGCTCAGAGACTCCCAGGACCTTGCCCAAGGTCACAAAGCTGGCAAGAAATGGGCAGTGGCTCAGCCCGGTGACGGTGGACCGGGTGACTGGCCCGCAGAGCGTGACTTACACTGGAAGGCTACTCTGCTCCGCGGGCGACCTTCTTTAGAAGCTTTATGGGGTAAACGCGGGCCCTGGGAACAGGGTCATCCCCACCGGGCCAGGTGGACAGGGAGAAGGAGGACGCCGCCAGCATGAGGGGCGCATCCTGCCCCGGGGACTGCTCGCGGGGACGCGGGACCCGGGGTCTCCGCCCGGTCACGCCCAGCCCGCGCGGGCCCAGGCCCGAGGTGAGGGCCGCTCCTGTCCGCCGAGGCCCTGCGACCACTGGAGGGCCCCTACTCCGCGGTACCTTCTCTGTGAGCACGCAAAGTCCCCACACGACACTCCCACTACGAGGCCAGAGCTCAAGTCCGGACCTTCGGAAAGCCATAAACACCGGAAGCGGAAATGCGAGCCCCAGAAAGACTGCGGCTTGGCCGGACTACATTTCCCATAGGCCTCCACCAGGCCCTGCAGACTGACAGCAGGATTAACCAGTAATCTATGCGGATGGCTTGGGCGCCCATTTGTTTCAGACGAATCATTGACGACAGGTGGGACTTTCCTACACGCCGGATTTGGGGGTGCGGAGCCGCAACTATAATCGTCGCACGTGGAGCGGGTAGTCTTGCCTTGCTTCTCCCACCCCCGTGATAATTTGGGGAGGTGGCGGCTTCTCGCCTTACTCCGCCCGGGGACCACTGAAAGACCCTTTCCAAAGCGTTTTCCCTTACAGCTGAAAGCGGGTGTTTATCCCTGTTAATCCGCATTTAATCCTATTATACAGGTGAATAAACCCAGGCAGCTTGGACCCCAGGTCTCTCTTAGAGTGGCGCTGAGACTCCAATTCAGATGTTTTGCCTCTTAAAGTACTTTTCTGGCATAGTTGCCCACTGTGGTAATGCTTCACCACTATCCTCCCCCTTGCCTAACACACACACACACACACAAACACACACACACACACACACACTTCCTTATTTCCTGCGTGCGCGGTCCTGGGTGATTCAAGATGAATATCATTGACGCTTATTCAATTAACAATCAATTGTAGAGCATATACTTTGGGACAAGTGAAAAATTTCCTCCTCTTAGTGCAGCCCCTGCTCTGCACTCCTCTTAAGGAGTGCAGTCTGGCAGAGGATGCATTTTCTAAAATGAAATGGTGAACAATTCCAATGCAGTGTGGTAAGTGCTAAATGGAGGTGCTTTCCAAGTAAATGACTGGAAGGAAATACTGGAGAGCAGCTGGGACAGCCCAGGAGGAAAGAAGGTGCACCCTCAGGGAAAGGGGGCGGGAAACTATACTTCACTTTTGCATATTTTATCTGGTTTGCTTCTGACAACAAATTTTGCCTAGTTAGGTCTCACTCCCTATTTAACAGATAAAAGGTCTAAAATTCAACAGAAGGTGGGTGAAGCTACAATTCCCCTCAGGAGGGGCAGCCTGTGGTGGAGCAAGGGAAGGACAGAACAACAAGAGGGGCTCTCCGTAGAGTCCTAAATCCAGTTACAAGTCTGGGCCATGGAGATTCCTTCTAGCCTCTTGATTTTAGTTCCAAGAGGGCTAATGTGGAAAACTCAGGCCAGCGCTTTCAGCATGCACACACAGCTAGCTTTCAAACCAGCCCAGCCCAGAAGTTCCAGAGAGCTGCCTCAGGGACCAGTGAGGTGGGGCAAAGACCCAGCCCGGGAGAGCGCTTTGGGTTCTCACCATCCAGTCATCAGAGCATCCCTGCTTTTACATGTTTTCTATTGTTTCAAGGTTTCACTTGAAAAAGTGGTTCCACTGTTACAAAAAGAAAACGGAAAATGACTAATCCAAGTATTCCATGTGCCATTCCCTTAACTCAGGGATCTCCTGAGCCAATGGAACTTTCACTGAAAGCAAAATCAAACCTGGAAAGGGTCATCCCAAACCTAGCTCCTATCACCTTCACTGTCAACACCACACCCAGTCCTCCAAACGAGAAGACCTGCATACGTGCCCTCAAGCTGCAAGCCACACTCCCCAAGGACTGGGACTAGAGGCCCCCGAAGAGTCTACACAGATGAGATGTTTTCCCAGCTAAAGCTTTCTGGTCCCTCGGAGGACAGTTGGTCTCAGAAACCTAGAAACGTCCATTCTTTGGTGAAAGCAGGTTCCATTCGATCTGAGTTATCAATATTACCACAGACAGTAGGATTTCAACGTTCACCGCCACACTGAGTGATTTCGAGCAGCCTTCTGGAATGGGATGGGCAAGTACGGGTATCAGCTGAGCAGGTGAGGAAAAATGAGATCTCCAAAAGTGATTTGCCCTAGTCATGCTGCTAGTTAGGGGCACAGGTGTGTCTAGAACCAGGCCTGTCAGGTCTCTTTGGCTCCCAATACCCCATCCGCTGCGCCACAGATCTCAGGACAGGAACAGGAGGGAGACAGGCAAGAGCTAGTGACTCAGAAAGGCGGCATCACATGGGACAGCTGAGAGAGGCAAGTGACAATAGTGCTGAAACTCTTCAGCAAGAGGGTGGTTTCTAGACCATTGATATGTTTAGAAAAACATGGCACAGAGGGATTTACAAGCAGTGTGTAAGGAGACAAGGATTTTGAGATGAAAGAAATAAGCGTATGCTCTAAGAATGCAACTAATTACAGCCACGTGTACTGAGTGGAGACCACTGTCTCGTCCACTTAACTCCAACTTAACCAGTGACACTAACCTGTCTGTGGAAGGGGGCGTGTTCATCAGGGAAACCTGGAAGAAAGTGTTAACGAGGGCTTCCCTGGTGGTGCAGTGGTTAAGAATCCGCCTGCCAATGCAGGGGACACAGGTTCGAGCCCTGGCCTGGGACGATCCTACATGCCGCGGAGCAACTGAGCCGGTGCGCCACAGCTACTGAGCCTGTGCTCTAGAGCCCACGAGCCACAATTAGTGAGCCCGCGAGCCACAACTACTGAAGCCCGCGTGCCTAGAGCCCGTGCTCCACAAGAGAAACCACCGCAATGAGAAGCCCGCGCACCGCAACGAAGAGCAGCGCACACTCGCCGCAACTGGAGAAAGCCCGCGTGCAGCAACAAAGACCCAACGCGGCCAAAAATAAATAAATTAATTAATTAAAAAAAAAAAAGTTAACGAGGCAATCTTGGGGACGGAGCCGACCGCGCTGGGGGGCAGGGAAGAGAAGGGGATTTTGAAGTGCAGTATTCATCACCTGAGGGGGGTGCGTCACATGACCCCTTTCTTTCAATCCGTGCTCATCACCAGCCACCATCTGATCACAAAGCCACCATTTCAGTTTTCCGTCACTGAAGACCAGGAACAAGGGGTGCTCTGAAAGTGGCTTGGGATTGGAGATCCCCAGGTAAATGAATAATAATTGGGCTTCTGGAATATTAGTCTCTTGCAAATTTAGTTACCAGGAGCCTCCCACCCAGTGTCTGGTCATCTCTGGGTGCCTGCACCACAAAACCTGGGGGCTGGAACTCGTGAGTGGTAAATCTGCCAAGATGTGCCACCCCCTGAGGCATCCTGGCAGGCCTCTTGCCCCGACACCGACAGTGTAAACAAACGGCAGAGACACTGTGCCTGCCAAGGCCTGGGATATGTGAGGGGCCTGGGCAAAGTGTTTCCTTGGAGCCAGACCTTCCTCCTCCCAGCAGCCATTGTTCTACAGCTGCCGTGGGCCTTTGAATGGATGGAAAATTCACAGAGTTGGGACACTGGGAAGAGTGAGCAGGAAGAAGAGAGCAGGGGAGAGGGAGTGAGGGGCAGGTAGGCCCAGGAGCCACAGCCTCTGCTGATGCCAGAGGCAAGAGCTCAGTTGCACCAGTGGCTGGGTGGAGCGCCAAAGGGAATTAACCACAGCCCCTACTCTCCACCGGGCTCTGCAACCTTCTGTCTCACGATCTGAGCATCATCTGTGCGATTCCACCTTCGCTTCCTCCGTGGCCACGGGCTATTTTATCAAGTCAAGAGGGTGAGATAAAGGAAAGACTCTAATATTCTGTCCAGAGATTTGAAATAGCTTAACAGGGCCAGGCAGCAGGGAGGTTAAAATGGCCCTGCATTTGAAAAACTCCAGGTCTGTCTGTGAAAGACTGTGGGACGGGCAAGCCCAGCACACCGGGTCCCTGCACAGCTCCCTGGTTATGAGACAGGACTCCCCATCAGGGATAAAGGGTTGGGGAGGGCGACCACCAGTCACGTGCAACGAAGGACCAGTTACAGTTGTGGATCATCTTGATACTAGGGGAGTAGCCAGTATGCTGTTTTTATTTTAGTGTTTTGTTATTCTCTCCATTGTTCCTTAGGTGTTTCTCGTGGCTGTAATAATGCAGCGGGGTTGATTGACTTCAGGAGTAGAGTGTTAAGCCACAGGTGCAGGGCAAGGGACACACTGAACCATAAACTGTGCTACACTAAGCTACTATGGCTTATTGTAAACCAGAAGTGCAACCCAAAAGGAAATAAAATTCCGTGAAAAACAAGAGGAGGTCTCATGATGACCTGCCTCAAAATGCAAAATCTCTATTAAAAGTGACACAAGTGGCACAAGTGTGTCTAGAGCCAGGTCGGTTCAGCTCCCAACACTCCACCTGCCCCACTGCAAACTTCAGAGCAGGGTCAGGAGGAGACAAATTACTGACCCAGAGGGGACCTGATGGGGGGACTTTGGGGTGCTGCTAAGTTGTTTCTTGACCAGGGTGCTGGTTACACAGGTGTATACGGTTTGTAAAAATTATATGAGCTGTACACTTATCTGTGTGTTATATTTCCCTTTTTTTTTTTCTGGCTGTGCCAGGCAGCTTGTGGGATCTTAGTTCCCTGACCAGGGATTGAACCCGTGCCCCATGCATTGGAAGTATGGAGTCTTATCCACTGAACCGCCAGGGAAGTCACTGTGTGTTACGTTTCAACAAAAAGTTAAAACAAGAACTGTCTCAGGATATAGTTATACGAATACCCTGGGATTAAAAGGGTGAGAGTAAGATAAAGTCTCCAAGCTTCACTGCTTGCCCAGAGAGAAGAGAAATAGATGGTATACTACGGACTCAGCTGTAAGAAAGGGGATGCATGCTTTTCACTGACTTTTGATGATCTGTGACATTTTGAAAACAAAAGCTTTTTCGTTAGGATTCTGGTTGGTGGGTTGGTTTTTATAAATGTCTTTCACTGTGTCTCCATTCACTGATACCAATAAATTGTAACTGAGGTGAAAGGTCACTGAAGTTAAAAATAACTTAATCATCTTACCAAAGGGAAGTGTAGGAAACCTAACCCATTTTCCAGGTCAGAATTTTGGGCTCCATCCGCCTCTTGCATTTACATACAACTGTATGGAGAGAACCCAATTGGCATATATTTATTGACTTCCTATCACATGCCAGGCCCTGCTCTGAGTGCTGGAGAGAGAGTTTGGAACCTCAGTAGGGGTGTGAGCATAAAAACTCGAAGAGGGACAGGGCAGAATCACGAAACAGGTCAATGTAATGAGAGTCACAGGCACCGAAATTGGAGAGCTCAGGGGTGTGGTGGGCGGGATCACGTCCGCCAGGCAAGTGCAGGGAAGACCTCACGAAGGGGGTGGTACCCAGGCTGAGTCTTCAAAGATGTGCAGGTGTGCCCTGGGCAGACAGGGCAGCCCAGCAATCCACAAGAGGGAGCAGAGGGAGCAGAGAGACGAGGCCCAGCAGGGCTCATTGAGGGGAGCTGCCAGGGGGCGAGGATGGTCAAGGGCATAGAGGTGTGGTGACGAGGGCAAGGCCAGGTATGAACGTGAGGTTCCACAGAGGCCCCCATCAGGAAGACCTCATCTGCCCTCCAAGGACCGTGGCCTCCTTAGGGGGATGGGGGAGCCCCGGAGGGTTTAAGCTAGGTAGTGACAGGCTCAGTTCTTTGCTGTGGAAGGACGCTCACTCTGGCTACAACACAGAGGATGGAGTAGCGGGAAGCAGGGCCAGAGGAAGC